GCCCCCTGATCGATAGATCATATAACGGTCAAAAGTAGGCAATCACGAGACTCACGCAATAGGGGGCACTGCTTACAACTTCGGCCCTGGGCTGGGTACGCAACAGGGTCCATCAATGTTTTGAGGATTTTTTTTTTCTTTCTTCCGCGCAAGTTTCTAACGTTGAGCAATTTTCGTTTCAAGAGCACGTGGTGTCCTCCTCAGTTGCTTATCTCGTCCTTCTCCTCCTGCTGCTGCTACGTACTTACTTAGTAGTATGCACTCGGCCCAAGGAAAGGAGGGCGATGATCGCCCGCGAACTAACCCTGCTTCGATCTATACTAGGTCCAGGGTGGAATACTAGTTACCTGAACGGGATGCCACTCTGTTCTAGTCCATGTGCCGTGAAGTGTGAACCCCGTCTAGGACCTTCGGAAGGAGGTTTTCTTTGTTTCCCAGCAAGTACGTACACTACAGTAACCTAGATGGTATGCATGATCTACATGGTTTCATTATTCATTATAGTCAAGCAGTTAGCCATCCAGTCGCCGTATTAGTGAAGATGATAAGCTGCATACGTGTACTTGTGTGTCCATGCCAACTACTAGCATGTATTGCGCCTTGTCTCCTCTTTCCCAAACGGCAAGTCCAATTATTTTGTGGGTAGTCGCGATGCTTACCTTGTTGTGTGGATGGATACTATTCGTAGTTGAAACAATTCAACTTCGTACGTACGAGCTTAATTTGGAGTGATACGATACCTAAAATGCCTGCCTGGGCTGCATTACATTCATGCTTCTGCTTGCCCGCCGGGTTCCAAAGTTTCGTCTGCTGAACATCGTCTGAGAACCTCTGCGGCCCACTGAAAAGAACATTAATGGCACAAAATCGATCATTCTATTATCTAACAATGACCCCGCCAGCCCGCGATGTAGACCCACGACCTCCACGAGCCTTGCGCGGAGTTTTGCTAGGTTTTCTATTTCCCATCACGCACGCATCTTGCTGAAGGAGTGGATGATGCTCATGAATGGCATGCCGAAGCAAGCCTTTCCGAATCCCGTGGTCCACATGGGAAGCCCAACCACGCGGAGCCTTGTGTGTGTGAATTCCTCTCTTACCCGTTACAAGAAATGGCCTCCTTACAAGGTTGGGCTTCTGTTTATGCTCATCAAACGAGTAGCTAGGCAGAGACCAGTCATTCTTGTCTTGAGTCGTGGCTTATGTACATTGCCTCTCTTTGACATTCCACGACATCTATCCGGACTAGGCGATGGCTCATATCACCGATTGTCACGATGCGTTGATTGGAAGATAAGATAATTTGGCCAAGTCTGGCACGTTATCAAAGCCTGCTCATGTCGATCACAGAAACTTGGGATGAAAAAATGGCCTTCTAGCACGCGACTCATTCGAGGTCTTGTTTAAGACAAGACAACCTCATCGGATTGGCATCAACCAGCAGCCTAACTCGTCTGGGCTGTTCGTGCCGACCCGGTTTTCCGGTTCTGCCCCAGAGCGAGCGAGCTTACACACACACTTGTCTGGACGTTTTGGGGCGCGACGCAACAGCATGTGCCGATAGTACAGTAAAAGTACCACGGTAGAGAGCCTGACTCTTGTCGAGCTTTCTTTCTGCTTTGACTGCTTTGAGTAATGTACGACGGACGCCTTACAGGGCGCATCCATCCTCTCAGAAGACTAAAAGCATCTGAGCTGGAGTCTCCAGATAGGACCCCAAGTACGTATGGACACCAGAGAAAAAAAGGTACCGACTATTGTCGAGATGCACGTCCATCCAGGTTATCGAGCCCGTCAAGGTACTTGGCGTCGCCCTCTATAGTAGCGATATCGCTGCCCCAACGACAAGCTGAACCATGCTAATCAAGTAGCCCTGGTGTCAACCAAATCGGCTAATGTGTACGTAGCTCGGCTATAGGTGGCATTGAGAATTTCTCACTCCCTGATTGCTCTCGTCGGGCCTATTGGACAGTCATATTTCAACGCTGTCACGATTCTTAGCAAAGACAAATGTCTAATTACGTACGAATTCTAAGCGACCAGTCGGGAGCGACGCAGATTTTGAAGGAAGAAAAAAAAACTTTTTTCATTTTCCTCTCTTCCCCAAAGACGGCCGACATCTTCGTCAATGCCGTCATCTCCCTAGCAGTTGACGATTACTGGTTCCAAAGCAGGAGGACAAGGTGAACCCTCTTCTCATGGGAAATCTCGAGCATTTCCGCGGACTGCGAAACTGCCTGCCCCATTGCCAGGTGCCTTCTCACCAACAAATCTTTCCACCAGTCTCTCTCCTCTTTTCCCGTAGCAGCCCTGCCATTCTTCCCCTTGTGGATGGTAACGCTTGACGCATTGGGATAGTCGCCCTAGCAGATTCGCGAGAGGCGTGCCCCTCCCCCAGACAAAAAGACATAGGGCATACATGTATCTACCCTGCCCTGCAGCAGCCAATGTTGCCGCGACAGAGTACGTAGCACCAGGTGCGACTCGTAATATTTTCCAAAGATGGTTTCCGCTACTCGCCATCGCATGCCCATCTTCCGAGATAACGACGCCTCCTGCTTTCTAGGCCAGTAATCAGCCATCCATAGTGCTGCTACTCTAAGCCACCTCATCAAAAGAAAGAAAGAAAGTCCGCTCGCTTCATGCCAATCCACCACATTCAATTTCGTCCGTACTACGCCGATTCGCGGGGTACCCCGCGATCTCTCCAAACAAGGGCGCTGCGAGCTTAAAAATAAAAGTGTGAGAGGGAGAGACTTTGTGTGTCTGGCTCCTTTATTTTGCTCCACTATCCCGTATCCAAATTTGCGCAGGGCCAACAAAATGAGGTTCCAAGACTCCAAAAAACCTTCCAGAGCACTAATCTAATGATTCCTTGCTTCGGGAACCGGCGAAAAGCCCAGGTGGTTGTTCGCTGATTGGTAGCGTACTTCGATATGTGTCTTGTCTATTATTTATCTACACCACAAGGGAAAAACATCCGTGCAAGGAGCTCCTCCGAGACCAAGATATAGTGTCCCCATGCTCTTTTTCCGAAGCGTGCTACTACTTCCTACCTAACTAACCTAGTTTAGCTATGCTTATTTTGAATTACGATCATGAATGCGATTCCGTTTGTGATTTCGATTCCGTCAAGACGAAAAAAGTCTAGCAAGCTTCCTTTGACTTGGTTCGGAAAAGACACCATTAGGTGTATATCCGCACAACTCCAAATAGATTCTCAAGTCCCGCCCTCCAAGAAAGAAAAACATATCATACACACACACACAAGTCCGATGTCGGTGCTACCGAAGGCCGAGTGAAGTTGTTCCCGTGACGCTGGTTCTCGTAAGGAAATCGAGATCATCCAAGGGGTTTCTATCCAGCCAGGACCGATCTTGTGTGTTCTGGGGTTGGGAGACATCGGGCATGTCGAGATTGTTGTTGTTGTTGTCATTGGGGCTTGCAAAGGCGTCGATTTGCGTCTACAACACAACAAATTAATGCTCAATTCAAGAGGGAGAGAAAAGGGAAAGAAAGGAGGTGGGGGAAAAAAGAGACGGGTACATGTAGTAACCATGGAATATGAGCAGAGGCAGAAAAAATAAGACTTACCCAGTCATATCCATCAGGACCAAACATCCAAGATATATTGGCATTTGTGGTAGAGTCTCCATATGATACACCGGGCACAGAAGGGTTGAAAAAGGATGCTGGATCAAATACGTCATTGCCTCCCGCAACCATATTCGGACCCGTGAATCCATCACTTGCATTTGCGTCAATGGTGAGCCCTGCCATGAGGTCGGGCTGCTCCTCGTGTACTGGCAGACCGTCGGGGGAGACGGCGCTGCTGAGTGGTGCCTTGCCCATCCGCCCTTCAATTTTGCGCGTCACGGCGCCAATGAGGTCGGCGGCCTTTTTGCATTCGACCGATTTGCCGGCCGTCTGTTGCCAGATGAACAGGGACCGCCTCAGCAGGGTGAAGAGTTCCTCCCGGGTCGGCTTTGGTGTGCCCTTGGGAAGCCAGGTGTTGTCATTCTGGGAGTCGCTCCCCTCGTCAGCTTCATAGTGCTCGCTCTGGATAATGAGGGCAATGATCATGTCGGCGAGGAGGAAATCGTTCATGGCCAAAGACGCAATGAACCAGCCGTTGGGGCTCAGCAGACCGCCCGGCTGGCAGGCCTCGTACAAGGTCTCCTGGCAGCGCAATAGCTCGAGGGCGCCCTCGAGACAGGCCCGGCGCGAGTAGCTGTGCTCGGCCGTGGGCACGGCGTCGGTGAGGTGCCGCCGGTGCAGCACGCAGCGGCTCTTTTGGTACAGCGACGCCAACCCGTACCGCTGAATCACCTGCATGGGCGGGTCCGTGACGCTCTCGGCCAGGGACTTTACCTTCATGAAGCTGGGCACGCGCGCATAGGTGCTCTCGAGCACCGCGTCCAGCGCCATGATCTCGGCGTACGTCGGCACCTTGAGTGAGTGCGCCTGCCGGGCCACGTGGCCAAACACGCGACACAATGCCGCCTTGTTGATGGGGTAGCACAGCGGCGTGTAGTCTCCCATGTGCCGTTGTGGTGGCATGACCTTGGTGGACGGGTCAAAGTCGGAATCGATCAAGTTGCGCGGCAGGTCCGTGTCGCTCTCGATACCGTGAATCATCGCCGGCAGACCGAGATGGAAGGCGACTAGAAGATCGATCTGCGTTGCGAGGTTCCAGCACCGCCGGCGCATCTCACCGTCGTACGGGGAGATATTGGGCAGCTTGTCCGGGTCGCGATGGAGGCCCATCTTGAGCATGATGCGAATCAGTGTCGCGCAGAGCAAGTAGCAGTTGATCTGTGACTGCGGTGCCGTCATGAATTCGGACTCTACGTAGAGGAGCATGGCCTGTACAGTCCACTGATTTGGATGCGAATATTTCCCCAGCGTAAGGGCTGCCCCGGCCAGAGCGCGGTACAGAGCAAATCTGTCCATGGCCGGCAGTGGTGAGTCGACTTCCAATTCGTGCGGTGTCTGAAACATGCAAAAGAAGACACCGTGGCTGAGGACCATGAACAGGATAGCGACCCAATGTAGCGAAGCCGTGGATGGGTCTCGCCAGAATTCATTGTATTCTTGATTGAACGTAGGCTTGTGCAGAATATCTAGTATGCAACTTAGTTATACCGCTACGGAGGCTGACGAGTGTATCATTCTTGTAGCAGAAGAAGGAGGAGGAGGAGGACTCACGTTGTGAAGGGCTATTTGAGCTAAAATACCTCATCAGAAGTCGATCTGCCACGTTCTTCTCTGGCAGCAGAGAGAGCAGTTCCTCCCTGCTCGTTGGGCCGCTCTGTGAAAGTAGTAACATTTCGGGCGAACGTTCTGCCTCGTAGGGGTCACTGGTAGTCCCATCGACTTCCTCATCCTCGGGATAATCGAAATAGCTCTTGAGCTCATCAATCTGTCTCTCGTGGTCAATTTTCGTAATCCCGAGTTCCATTCCAATCTTAACAAGGCAACAACAAGACTTGTGAATCATACACCAACAATGTCAGAAATTACTTACGTCTTGGAGTATAGCGGCGAAGTGTGTGCCACCGATATAACTCGTTGCACCCAAATCTCCGCTGACAACCTGGCCCCCGGCGTCCACACCACTATTCCGAGTCGCCGCCGCCGCCGACGATAAAGCACATGACCCGACACCAGCAGGGCTCTCTTGTCTTGATCCTGCATCCTCTCCCGCTCCATCCTGGTCGGCCGGCACTGCCGTAACCTGTGCTCCTCCAAGCCCCAAAGCAGCCGCCGCCTCCGCCGCCCTTCCCGCGCTGGGCACCCCGTTCTCGTCCAACATGCCACGGACCATACCCTCCAGTCGCCGCAGTCGCGCCGCCATGGTCTTGGCGGGCTTCTGCGGCTTCTGCGGCCGCGGGGCGTACCGGCAGGTATCCGCGCGGCCCTTTTTGAGGCACTGCGAGCACGGGTCCTGGCGGTCGCATTTGAGCTTGGAGGCCCGGCAGGCGCCACAGGACAGGAGGACTCGGGTGCGCTTGGCCGGGGCGGCGGCCGTCGTGGTCGTACCAACGCCAACGCCAACCGCCTCACCTCCGGGCCCGAGGGCGGAAGTAAAGGGCGGCGTCGATGAAGACAGGCGCTGGTCCGAGGAGGGCGTGGTGCTTGGATCCGACGACATTCTTTGCTGTCCCTCCGTTTGTCCTTTTCAGGTTGCACCAGATTTGGCAATGAAAGGGTAGGCAAGTTGTCTCCTAGGTGTGGCGAAATGAGATGGTGCGCGAGTAGCGGACCAGCATCAATCAAGAGTACTCTATATGATCAGGTATTATCGTGGATATCAACACGCCCCCTTCAACGCCAATGTTCCAGGGACACCTTTTTGCTGACAAAGGAGTCAAGGGATAGTGATGATACGCCCTCTCCTTGTACTACCACGAAGCGACCGATGAGGGGTCCCGCCTTCGGGTAGGTATGCAGTAAGCAAGTAGTTGATGAACCTAGGGCACTCTCACTTTCGAGGCTTCACTTGCTGTCACAAAAGGCTTCTTTGGCGTTGTGCTGGTGCAGTCTCGTCAGTTTCAGACTACAATCATCGATTATAGGTTGTTTTTATCTGGCCAGCAGAAGGGTGAGAATAAATATCATGGAGGGAGGCCATGCAAGAGTGAATCCTTCCGGGAGGTAGTGCCTGTTGGATGATCTCATAGTACTGAATATTCATGCACACTATGTATTCGCACTATGCGTTGAATGAATAACTACATGAGGTTGCTTCATTATTGCACTCTGTCGTGTGTAATCATGCCAGAGTTTGTGCATCGGAAAATGCATAAGATTGATCTGCAGCTTTGCAGCTTTGCAGCCTTTTTTACTCCTAGTATCTTGTCCGGTATCAATTCGACAATGATTGACTAGAAGACCTCATGTACACACTTCTAGAAATGGTATGATGTTTGATTGTGCAATGCTTCAATATCAGATATTATTCTGAGATTATAGATCCTGATCTGCTGCAGGATATTGGATACTGACCGACCTTTGATGCCATGTTTTGGCCTCATTACTACAGAGGCGGCTTTTCCAGAACCACTATAGGTTTCTTGTGGCCTCACGTATCCATCAACTACACACTACATGCGTTTTCCCATCCTCGACTTTGATATCCTCTTCCTTGTCATATGCAATAAAACTTGGTCCTGCCGTTCGGGTATATTTGAATTGGAGAGTGAGCCCTCCGGGGGCGGCCGGGGGAGCATTAGTCTGGGTGATGGCAACGACTCGCGACCAGCACCTGAAGTCGTTGAGATGCGAGATTCGATGGCGTATTACCAATCGAACTGAGTGATGCGATTCTTGAAATCCTGCATGCCCGGCGTCAAGTCTCGGGAGCCGCATTGGAGGGTTGCGGTGCGTGAACGAAGATCAAACTCAACGGCCCGGACCATGACGCGCTTCTCTTCTGGTATTGTCCTGCTCCGGCCCATGCTTCCGTTAGTCGCAAGGCTTTCCCGTCGACCTATGCTCCAGCGGGCATTGCCTCCTGGACCGAGGGGTCTGTCACTTTCAAGGTCTGTGTATCCATTGGTCGGAGAGCCGTTGGAGATGGATCCAATCGATCGGGCCCCTGGGCTTGCTGCCGAGAACGTTGAGGTTGAGCTGGTCGATGGTCTTGGCGAGTCGCCTGGCGTCATTCCTTCCTCTTCAATGGCCATGATCCACATGCCGATGCGGGCTATGAGCTCACTGTCCCACATTCCCTCGCGCCGGGCACTGCTCATGAGCAATTGAATCGCCTGTCTCCGTATCGTAGAATCTCTGCACTTTGTTGCCACTAGATACAGAGGGGGCACAATGCCCAGATCAGCGCTGAAGCTGGGTTTGATGTGCTTCGCAGTCCATTCCCCTCCTCCAAAGATATCAGGATGTCCAGACTGATGCTGGCAAAATTGAGGGTTGGGACACCTCTTCGCCATTGCTTCCCTTTCTTCGTCTCCAACTACTTCCTCGGCGAGGCTAACGATCTTCTTGAATTGTGGTAAGAATGCGTCAAAGGAAGATTCGTTATCGCTAAACGTCATCAAGAAGAGTATTTGTCCCATGATTTGGAACATTTTCAGGACAGATATGGCGGCTTTCTCCTGACTGCTCTTCCCCGGAGCATTCCTCGAATTGAGGATTGGTTCAAAAGCATGGTCCCATGACGCTATTTCGTTCTTGAAGCCTACACCAAATTGTTGCAATTGCCGTGGTAGGACACCCATAGGACTGGTGCTGCTTGTGTATTGGAACATGGTTTCTGTGAATCTCAGCATCTTTTCGCACAGAGCATCCCAGGCGAGTCGAGCCTCAATAAGCGATGAAAAGCTTTCGGGTATAGGGGACTGCAAAGTCGATACCGGGGAGCCGCCTTCGGATGTGGGTGAAGTAGGATCAGTGTTTTGAGGTGTGAGTCGGATCACAAAAGGTTGCGGGAAGTGGAATGCCATGTCATAAGACTTGGCTTGGATGGCAAGGCGCGTGAACATCTGAATGAGGTCCTGCTCGACTGGCTCTTCGGGCCTTGGCAGAAACGCCCTGCGGCGCTCAGCCCGCAACTGTTCCAATAGTCCCAAGCCTGTCTGTATTTGCCTTATGGCCTGTTTGTGATCTCCGATGAATGAATCGAAACATGCCAAGAGCACAGTGGCCATGAGACTGGTTCTCTGAGTGGAGTGGTCAGATGACGTCTGGCTGCGAATGGCTTTCAGAGCCGAGTCATAATTACGGAAGGCAACCTCCCAGTGAAGCCGCGCATGGTCGACCGGGTCAAAGTGATCCGAGGGAGAACCTGGCGGGGACTCTGTCATCTTTTCTAGAGTCTTGTAAAGAGCGCCGAGTGCAACAACCGAATGGCGAATAGCCTCTTCCGAATGGCATTCTCGCAGCACGCTGCACGTCCAGAACGAGGAGTCGAAAAAGCCCGAGAGCTCGCCAGCTGTGCGTTCCCGGAATAGCTGAAAGTACAAACCATCCTGTGGGTTGAAAGGTAAATTGACACTGGGGCGATGAACCATCAATGAGGAGGTGAAAGTACTTTCGGGGTGATTGATGGGAGTGAGCGGCGGCGTGATGCGCTGCTGGGGTGGTGAAACTGCCCGTTTTGGTTTTGTCGCAATGGCTATAGTCGGGCGCCGAGGTGCAATGGTGCTAGGAGCTGGTGCCGGGGCGGCTGCGATGATGGCCACGTTATTGGTGACTGGCCGCGGCGCAATCGCAACCTCCTCGAAGATCCTGGGCCTTGGTGGTGGTGGATATCCCTTGCATTCCTTCTTTGATCGAACGCACTGAGTACAGGCCGGCCGCTTCTCATCGCACTTGATTCTTCGCTGCCTGTATGTAGTGTCGAAGCTTAGTATAAGAGGCTAATTATGATTTTGAGGGGTGCATGGACAAGTTGAAAGTACGGAATTATTAAGATTTTGGGTTCTGGCACACATACTTGCAATTGTTACAGCCAGTCTTGACCTTTGGCTTGCTCGTCCGAGGTCTCCTCTGTCTTTGAGCAGCCGCATCACCCGAGAGGTCGGTCTGGACCGGCTCGGGGCGATGATTCCTGTTGTCGTCGCCAGTCATGATGTGTGATTAGAAAATTGGAAAACCGGTGATTGAGAAGCGACCATAGCCCAGGAGTTTTGAGGCGCCGGGAAAAAAAAAAGGTGCAAGTGCTGAAGCTTTTTTTGCAGTTGTCTTGTTTCGTTATTTCTGACCTTCTCTTTCTTTCTGTCCTCGGCACAGCATTTGGTTCTGGCAGGCTGGTAGCTATGTAGGTAGCTATGTGGGCTGGCAGATCGACAGACAATGGTGGTCTTGGTGGTGGCGGGGAAAGGACGGTCTTAGCGAAGTTGAGAATACCTGCCCTCACTCAACGCAAAGTGTATCGGGACCAGAAGCAGCAGCCAACAACGTTTTCGTGGGCATGCAATAGGAGCGATGTGACTAAATCCAGGTCACATATGCTCAAAACCCCGCATGAGAAAAAGTAAATACGTAGTAGAATCGCCAGCGAGGATGGAGAGGGAGAGGGAGAAGAAAAGAAATAAGTGGCAATGAGTACAGGCAGTGGGCGCGAGGCTCGTGATAATGTCCGTTGTAGCGCAGGACCGGAGCTTCAAGAGTGGGAACCTTAGTGGCACGGGTTATCTGCAGAAGTTTGGGGGCTTAGACTTGGGAGGGACGGCCTGGGTATAAGTCGTTTTTCTCCCCTGCGCTGCCTCCTCAGGGCCCCTCCCCAGTGCCCTTGAGAGTGCCCATCAACTTGGCCAGGGTCTGGGCTGGCTGGGCTGGCTTGGGTCTTGGTCCTTGGATGCAGGTTGGAGATGGGCCAGCGCTCCTGATGGGTATGTACATAATGTACGTACATGATTGATTACATTACTTTACACATGCACTGCAGTTGCGCATCGCACAGAGGAGACCCTCTCTTTCCGTTGGCTGCTTTTGCTGCTTTGTGCTTTGCACCATTCTGCATATCCGCCTTCCTCCATATCCATCTGCCTGGATAATGTACTTTGTACACGCATGTATGCAGGCGATTGTAGGTTAAGTAGTATGTATGTATTCCGAACCGCGGTAGAATTTCGACACTTTGGGTATCTTACGTATATCAAATGTAATATTAAAACAGGCAGATGGATATTCACTGCAACCTAGGTAACACGACATTTACCTGTTGTCTCTATCTTGCCGGCCGCTGGGTCGCCTACCATTTGTGCCTACACGCAGAGAGGCCTTGGCAGGTTGATGCCGATCCGCATCTGTTGAGATCATTCACTGATCGTTGTTGGCCTACCTGCCGTCGTACAGTGCGCAGTGTCATGCTCGGCGCAGAGATGACCACAGAAAATGATTGTACTTTGTAAATTCCCTGCTTGGTTGATCCATCTGTTTACGGCTCAAGGTTAGGCTGTGCGATATACATAGTACACGAAGATGGGCAATGTAATGTAGAATGAGACTCAATAAACACAGTCAATCACGAGAAACCCCAAGTTTAGACTTGAGCGCGTAGTATAAACCAATTGTTACAAAATCACTTGTTTCAAAACCCTAACAGACGATAAAGACATTATTGGTAATCCCCATCCCAAGGATATCGGCCAGGCAGACTCGGAAGAAAAAAGCGCTAACCCCTCCCCCAAGTTAATCACGAATCCCACTGGACTGAGTCTTCTGTCGAGACATGCCACTCCAATTAAACAAGTCGACTGAGACATGCCTTCGGGAGAGAGCATGTCGTCGCGGACGGAAAGGATAAGTTTCACGGCCATATCCTTTTTGGTTACGTTTAAGCGTCTTGGCTTGACAGCGGCTAGCTGAAAAAATTACATTCCCATGCCCTGCCAGGGGTCTGCCCTTATTAGCCCTGGGACGTCTTTTTTTTCCTTTCCCTATCGTTCAGTTAGATAATGTGAGTAAAGAGGGGAGACAGACAAACGGAGAGAAAACAGTATAATGGCCGGGGGTCGAGGCGCCGGCGCCAGTGGGAAAAGCGAACCAGCAGGTCCAGGGTCAGGGCCAGGGCCAGCACAGTTGTGTCCACACTACCGAACTTGTACCTACTGGACGGAAGCCACCTGGCGTGTTACTTCTCCTTGGCTTCACGAATCGTTGCACGCGCCGAGTCACGGCAGTAATACTTGTCACGGCGAAAGATGGATGAAATGACTGATTGTATTAATAAGAATTACTGGATTATGTTGACTGACTTACTAAGTGCCTGCCTGCCTGCCTGCCTGCCCAGCCACGTAGACCGTTGCACTGCAAAAGAGACATTCGATTTTACTCAAGGGTCTATTGCCTGTCAACTTTTGAACAACCTATCGTACGTACCCAAGGTTACCTATATTACCTACTGGCACAACAGAGCAGTACCTTCTGTGTACGTACTTCAACAACATTTTGATTGACATACCTTAATGTAAAGTACCTTTCCGATGCGACTGTGCGGCAGATTGATGTTCAACTCCGCAAAACCCCTACTGTACCTTGTGTACATGCTTTCGTGCTTGGTTGTGTGTAAATACTAGGGGTCATGATTTAAAGTTCAACTGGACCAAAAGTAGTTACTACATAGTACGAAGCACTATGGTAGTAGTGCACGTTGACGTCCCCAACTAGCGGATCGAACCGTCTGCCACGCCGCGACTTCCTAAGAAGTGCTAGCTCACAGTGGCCACTGCTTCTGCTTTTCGGTGGTATCTACGGGCAGGCACAAGAGCTAGGTGGGCAGGAGTCAGATCCGAGTAGGCAATCGAGTCTCGCGACTATTGGCCATCATCATCATTATCATCATCCTGCTTTGCAAGACTGGTCTGGGTCAACTCCATACACACGGAGGGGCGATATTGTGTCACAGGGCTTCTCGAATTGTTCAGATCTACGAAGAAAAAGCTGGGCAGATTTACCGCGCCGCCTTCCCATCTTCCTGGCTTGAGAAAGCAACGAGCAACAAATACACAAACTTTCAGGGCACCCTCGACGGGACTCTCTAAGACCGGACTTCTCCCGCCGAGTCAGGGTACTTTAGCTATCCACTACCTGCAGATACCAACCGATGTTCCGAGACAACCTTCACTACGAGTTCCTTCCGAAGCAATAGCTCGATTTGAGAGCTTTGGTTGAGATGATGTTTTGTACCTCCGTTGGTTAATGAGTCTAAGAGCCGAGAAAGCAAGTCGAACAGGTAGATCCTCGGGCTTAGCCTCGGAAGCCACAAAAACCGGCCGCGGCGATGTTCTAGCCAACACAGCGATCGCTGTCCTGTCATTGTCATGGCACTGATATTGTTGCAGAGTGCATCAAAAAGACCACGGACTTCTGACATAGGAATCATCTGTCGAACAAGCACCATTTACTATTACCTGAACTTGCGCTTGGGTGGTTGTGAGCCATGTTCTTACGAATCGCCTCCATTACACGCGGAAGCGGCCCGACATTGCTCAACTGGATGCGTCTACAATGATCCACACCATCATTCAGCCCTACGGAAGCCATTTCTGCACTATTCAATGCTCCGTTTCCTCCTCAGAGGCAGACCACCCAAGCACTGCGCAGGCAAAATATCCAATCACTATTGCATCGCATTCTGGAAACATACCCACTATGCAATGGCCGTAAGCAGTGATGAGCAGCAACACGTCACGTCAGCGCCCAGATTCAAAAGTTATGGGGTATTGCCACTTACCTACCGATTGGAGCACCCAGCGGTGCTTCTCGCTCACAGCACTCAGCCCTACCACATCCTGGTTCCGTCATTCTGATTTGCTCCCGCAACGACTTGCATCGCTTGCCATCCCTGAAACCACTGGCTTGGGACATCTTGGGACAAGAACATTATGTCCTTTGCGACTGCCATTTGTTGGTTTTCCGGAGGCAGAAAATTGACCATCTCGGCCCCCTGTTGACCGAAAGTAGTTGGCGCCGGGCCCAAACTCTACTCTGTAGCAAACAAGCCTTGTTGTGCAACGACAACGCCCGATGGTTGGATCGCATGATGCTTCCTAATCGGAAGTCAAGCTCGGTGGAATAGATATACCGACTGGTGGCGCTCCACTCATTATATGAATTTCCTGCAGGAAAATCCGTCGACTCCTCCCTTAGGAGTGATAGATGTAATCGTATACTCTGCTCGGCACGTACGGTCATGCTTCACGCAGATCCTGCCAGCCAAGGCAGCGCAATTTAGCAATGGGGCCTTCATGGAAAGCAAAGCCAAACACGGTGATTGCGACTAGCGAGACTATTGTCAGATTACTCGAAACCAAATCACAATCCATGAGACGCATCAATAGTCTGTTTGGCGCCAAGCGAGGCACTGTGCCGAAGTAATATCGCTCATGCACGACAGTCCTTTCTGCACGCTAACTTCCTGAAGGATCATTCCCGTCTCCGAAAACAGCCTAGCGATGGGCAATGGGTACTGTGTACTCTTTCACAATGGAGCCGAGTTGTGTAACCCAGGAGAGAGCGACATCTCATACTACACATTAACATGCATCTCCACAGAGTGTTTGGCCTCTCTGGTACCAAACATTCGAAGACTTGCCTAAGGTGAGTTTCTGGAAACTCTGGAATCCTGACTTACTACAATGACACTATACTCCTAGTCGCCAAGACTTTTTTACTTGCCCCCATAACCAAGCTAAAGTTTCACAAGGGGCAAGTTGTGTGAGCAGAGTCCTCACTTGACACGAGATCCCTCGACATTCTATGGCATCATATCAATGATTGTCGTCAATAATTCAGAGGTGTAGTGTGTCCCCATCCGCCATCACGACGACGACGACGACGGAGCAATAAGCACAAACCTTGGTCTATCGGGATGTGGCTAGCTTGAGCATGTTGGAAGCGGTCTATAATGCTTCCCAACCCCAGCCTGGCTGGCAAGGCCGAGGTTCGGGGGTTGATAGATGAAGTTTATCTCGCCGTGCGCGGCCTGCGTGCTTTCGGATACCGAATGCTGCAAACATTCATCCCCAGCCCTGGAAGTGGGGCATAGTACCATCCGGCAGTCATTACTTATGAACAGGCGGGTGAGCGACAACACATTTCATCCACATTGAGGCAAGATAAAG